AGAAGTCAGAGGGTTTTGAATGCCAGGGATGTGGGTGTTCCCCGGGGTGAGGTGAGAGTTGGGGAAAGTAGCTGTTGGAGGGTTTCAAGGCCAGCAGTAACGTGGCCAGGTTTGGGTTGAGGAAAGATCACTTGGGTGATGGAGATAGTGGGCTGGACTTGGAGTGGGTGGACAGAAGACAGGCACCGTGGGTTCAGCTTTGAGACTTGGCAGCTCGAGGCGTGCTAGCCCCTTGCCGATTCCCACCTGGCCTCCCGGGTGCCTTCTGCGGGTCCTGAAGTGTCTGGCTTAGCCTCCACCTACCCCCAAGTCTCTTTGCCAACTGTCTCCAGGAGGTGGGAGGTGGCCTTTGAGGGGGATGAAGCGCTTGCCTCCGCCTCTCATCCAAATCTCTCTAAAAGGGGTCCACGTTTGCTGTCTTCTTTTTCTCACCTCCCATTCACTTTTCAGCCCACTGCAATCTGGCTTCCACTCCCACGATGCCACCAAAATTCTCTCTTCCATGGTTACCAGTGACCTCCTGAAGAACAGAAACTGATAGATCCATTTAGTCTTTATCTTCCTGCACCCATCTGCTGGGGTCCAACCCCAGCAGGTCCAGGGGTCCCCAAAGGTGTGGACGGAGTCGGCGAAGAAGGAATGACACGGAGACAGCCTTCAGTTGATCAGCAGCCTAGTCAGGACCTCTAGCCAGGATCTCCAGCCAAAGTTCTGGTCGGAGTTCTGGTTAGGAACTGATCAGGATCTGATGTTTATTGTCTTGTTACATCTATATTTATACCAGCTGATTTTAATCCTGTCAATTTCTATTACAAAGGTTAGGGCGTTTCTTATCTCCATTCCAGGGAGTAAAGATTATGTAGCTTAACTACCCGCCTGGCACTTAATTAAGGGGTTGTATCCCCTCCCTAACCTCAGGGAAAAATCCCTACCTGGGGAAACAACCTTTCTCGGAGAGGTGACCTTGGTTAAAACACATGGCACTAAGGAGAGCAAACATATTAAGAACAATATGCTATATATGCCAGGTCCCTTGAAACATATGCTGTGCAGATGTTTCTTTCCTGCAGCGACTGTGTCAAGCAGCAAGGATGGACCGGCTTCCAGCAAATTCCCCCTTTTTTGTTTTTTAAATGATAGCGCGTGTAAATCAGTGGCCACCTCTCAGATTGGGCTGTTTAAAGACTCGGAAGAAGACTGGCAAGCAATGACAATAAGCATAGCTATAAACATAGTGGACGGATT